TGATTTCTGATTGTCCTTGTAGTTCCATTTGCTTGTTCTGATTTCCTGATAGAGCAGTTTATTTTGTACACTTCAATGAGTAGTATGCCACACAATCAGCACTTTTAGTTGCCTCATTTTGTAATAATGTGCTAGGGACAGCTCCTCAGTACATGTAACATCCAATACAATGTCAATGACAGGACAAACTTTTACAGAATGTACTACATATTGAAAAAGGCAGCACAGAGAATTCAAGAAGTTTGTCATCCCATTGCCAACCAACCAGTTATCTCATAGTGATGTGGAGCAGGATAACTCGTAGTCAGTGCAGTGGAAAATTCAACTAAATGCCATTGCCAGCTACAATCTTTTTTTCTACATATTGTTTCTCCACAGAATTATTATAAATAACCATACGTATGAACTATGCGTGCAAATGTACAATGCTTGGCAAACGAGAACACCCTGTGAAATTACATGGATGCATGGCAGTCAACTTGTTATAAAGGCCTCTTGGATGTTACCCATAAGCTAATTTTAATTGTGACAGAGTGTGTATAGTAGTGACAAAGTTTTTATTACAATTTTTCTGGTATCTGACTTATGCTATTTCACGTCATGTACCTTCGCAAGAGAAGTCAACCACATCCCATGTGCTGTTGGCCAGGCACTTGGATTTGGGGGAACCAACTCCATGGTAGCCATATGGACAGTACCAGTTGCAGGTTTTTCCGAATGGTTCGGTGTCTGGCGGGGACTTAGAGCAAAGTGATGAGCGTATAGCAGGGAAAGGTCGGTCATCCAGGGCTGGGCAAGTGACGGCTGAAAAAAACAAAAGATGAAAGTGCATCATCAGCATGGATGCCACATCCAAGTCATTAAACATAACAAATCACTTTTTTTCCCCAAATTGCCTTGTTCCATTGCGATTTCCAACGGAATGGGCTGCTCTGTCAAAAGAATGCGTGTCACAGGAATCCCGTGTAGGAACACTAGGACAATGTTTATTCCTGTTTGATAATTGCTGTGTTTCCACTGCAATACAGTAAGTTAGCTGAGCTGTCCAACAATCTCTTGCAGTCACAAGCATAGAAATACCCTGGATGCAACCACACAAACCTCTCTGCCTAAATACCTTCTATAGGGGTCATTCCATGAAGTTCGGGCACAGTTTGTGACAGTGTCCCTTGTTACATCAGTAACTTCTGCAGGTGAGTCGTAGAGAGAATATTAAGAGACAGATTTAGAGCCCCTTACGTGAACATGTCGGATGTTCCCCGGTCCACTCCACCTGGAAATTGTCACTGCCACTGCTCTGGTCGGCCAGGGTGATGTTCTTCCTCTCACAGGTCCTCTTGCTGGAACCAGTCAGGTTGTAGCCTTCTTTGCAAGCAAAGCTGCAGGTGGCACCGTAGATGTTACTGGGGCACTGGATTAGTGACCCACTAGCAGGGGCTCGCAGTTTATGGCAGTGTCGAACTAATGGGGTCAGGGGTCAAGGGAGAAGGAAATACAGAGACTAAGAAAGGACATTGTAGACCAAAGATATCAGGGTAAGGATCGTTTAGAACAAATGACACAAATAAAGCCTCATCTTCAACTGACCATGTCAACAAATCTGTATGTTAGATTCAAACTTCACATTTCTTCTAAGAATACATTTCTTCACCTGCTTGCCAACAGAAATCAGGCCTGGGACAGCCAAGTTCTTAGGGGAAGCTCTTTAAGGGTTAAACAATGTGGGTGATGGACTTCCTATAGACAGCAGTCTGTGCTCAGAGTCAGTCTGTAGTGAGTGAGTCTGGATTAAACCGTTGATGACGGAATTGCTAGCTTACCGTGCACAGTGACATACACATCACATTGCCGTCTATTCATTGCAGCATCAGTAGCAATGTACTCCACATGGGTTGTACCCTTGGGGAAGGATGAACCTGAGGCAAGGCTTGGGTTTTGACTGTAAGCAAGCAAATGAAGACGTTGCAACAGCCTTGGATCTGGCATTTATGTAACTCCTTCACTTGCATATACATGTAGTAAATTAACCGTCTGCACATTTGCCCTGTTTGTTTATTCATAAATACCTCAGACAANTATCCCCATTCAACAACGTGCAACTTGACCGTGTATTAATATTTGATAGTGCCGGCTGAGAAGTGACAATGCCTGCTGCGTGAATCAAGTGCTAGCACCTGGATATGAGACAGTTTGATCAATTCTGATTGGTCAAGAGTCTGTGTGCTCGCATCTCTCCATGCAAGTGCAAAGTCCATACAAGGATATCCTACTGGACAACTTGAAAAGAGAATATGCCAAAAATGGACGAGGGACTGCTACAATGAAAGCAAATTTCTAGAATGAAATCATTGGAAATCCATCATATATTTACTCCTTTCAACTCTCTTACCAAAAAGCAATTTTAAACATGGGAATAAATACGTGCTTGGCCAGTCTTAAACTAGTGTTTAAGACCGGCTAAAGAGAATGGACGCGAATAATGCCCGAGCCACGCCGGCCAAGCACATGAATTCCCTTGGTAAATCAACCAAGCATGAATACATGTAAGTACATGTACATCACATACTGAAATATAACTTTCCACACAAAGAGTTTGTACATATCAAATCATCCAACAAATGAACATCTTGTAACCTGGGGCCAATTTCATAGAGCTGTTTAAGCACAGAAATTGCTTAAGCATGAAAAACCTTGCTTGACAAATCAGGTTACCAGCCAAAATTCCATGTGATGTATATTGGTTTGGAATGGTACTCACCTGTCTTTTGGTTAGCATGACAATCACATAGATTTTTGGCAGGTAACCTTTATTTTTGAAGCAAGATTTTTTTGTGCTTAAGCAGATTTTGTGCTTAAGCAGCTCTATAAAATTGGCTCCAGCTGGAAGAAGGCCTCAATGTTAACAAGTACTCAGAGTAACTTTGCCCTAATCAGTTGCAAAACACACTACTACTCTTTGAAAAAACACAAAAGAACTCTTTGAGTTAGCAACAAAGAAGGATAACAATAACAGCTTCTTAACCCCTTCTTTTCTGAAAGCCGACTCCAAGAATTCCGACCTTGCTTGGCCATGAAAGCCACCTGCCAAACCGCAAATTCTCGGTTTGTGGCCCTGCATGCTCTGCATGCTTTGATTTACATAGTGAAAAGGCTTATTGTTCGGTGTCATGCAGCTCTACTCACACTTCCACATTCCCGTTGCCTCTTTTCAAA